TGCATCGATACCAGATTACTGTAGCACGCGTCAATGGCTGATTTTGCTTGTCTTAGGGCTCAAGTTTGATCCAATGGCTCTCATTCACTGATGTTTACTATAAATAGGGGTAGATAGTGAGGGGTTAGAGGTGTGAAAATTTTGTAAACTCCTTTTGGAGAGGAGGGCTACTCTTAATTGAGAATGCCTTCCAAAAATTGTACTTTAGTTGCAATTAATAATAATAATTTTTCCTCTTTAAATTTGTTCTTTCTCCTCTTGTTGAATGATGAGGATGGAGATGAAGAGCAATTTGAAGGTTTGCATTTCTTTTCTCTTTTATTTCTTTTTAGTGATTTTTTTATTATTGCTTATTAGTTAGATTTAAATTCATGCTTGTAGTGTAGATTTACTTTCTTGTCATTTCTATTTTCTTTTTGCACTTTAATTTGTAGAGTAGATTTATTTTTCTTGTATTTAATTTCTGCAATTTATTTTGTAGTTTAGATTTTTATTTTCTTTGTAATTAGATTTATTTCTTGTTCATAGTTTAGATTTTTCTTTTCTTTTTAATTTTGTAATTAGTCTTCTTTTTCTTGTTTTTATTTCTTAAGATGTGAATTTAATTCTTGTAGGAATCTTAGAATTGTATGAAACTAGTCTAATTTCCTTTATATTATATGAATTATTCTCTTGTACTTAAAATGTTCATGTTAGGATAATCAACTAGAGAACTAATCGGTAGAAGAAGAATTTGATAATCTATGCTTATCTTAAATGGTTTGATAGGTTATGCTTATGAATTCTAGGATTATTATCATGTTGTTGTTCTTATCATGAATAGTAATTTTGACTTAGATGATAATTTGATAGGTTACACTTTCCTTAAATGGTTTGATAATCTATGCTTAATAAATCTAAGTTGAAATATGATAAAAAGAGAATAGTTTATATTTTGTAATTGAAATTGGCTAATGGATTATATTCTAAAGTTCTTACCTCTTTTGAATCCTTCATCTTAACTTTCTTAAATTTTCTTTTCATTTTTGGTTTTATTTCTTAATTTTATTAATTCATATTTCTTGCCTTGTGATTTCATTTATTTTTTAATTCTTCCTTCTCTCTTCTAAAATTCAATTTGTTATCTTTTGCATATATTCATAACAATCACTCAACAAAATCACACTTATTCTTTATTCCTAATTGTCATGCACAAAACATAAGAATCATTTCTAATAATCTCTTAAAATCACCTTTCTCGTGGGATCGATATTTTTTATACTATAACTTGATAAATTGCGCACTTGTAATTTTGGTACATAATTATGCTGCATCACTTGTTTAAAAATGCAACCTAAAATACTTATGTTTTTGGATAAAATCATTTCTTACGGTATTAAAAATACATTGATTTTGTATGTGATATCAAAAGAAATTTATTGTCTGAAGACAATTAGTTTTATAATTGTCATGTTCTTCGCGCATAACATGTACGTTTCGAACCGTTATTCTATGGTGTTTTTTTGGAGTCGCTAGAGAGAGTTTTTGGAGTAAGAATTGACAATACTAATTAGAACAGTTTAGACTTCTTTATCCTTCATGTTAATGTTTCTCACGCTGATTTTCAACAATTCATGAAAAATTTCTATAATTTTGAAACTTCACCCTATTTTTCTTCTCTAATTAAGTTAGAGGGTTTTCTGTAATTCCAAACTTTTAAATTTTTTTGGTACTAGTAATCCCTAACCCTTTGGGTAAGTTCTAACAATTTAACCCCAAATTGGGAAAAAAACCTAAGGGCAGCTCCTTTTTTATTGTAAAAAGGATTATTGCAAATAGACATTCTTTAGTATCACCCAATTGATAATAGACCTCATTTGGTTATATTCGTTGTGACCATATATACTTCTATTTGTTGCAAATAGATCCACCGAATGAATTTTTTTACTCTTACAATGGTTGTAAATGTTTGAGGAGGCGAATAGACACCCTAATAATTATATTAGGGAGGATAAACACCCAATTAATTTTTTTCCTTTTAAAAGGGTAAAAAAAGTTCACTAAGGGGTGTATTCGCACTTGGGCTAATACTACATGGTGTATTCGCAACAAATAGAACTAATGAGGCACACAAATAGAACTACAAAGGGTCTTGTTGCAATTTGGTGATACGCTAGGGGTCTGCTAGCAATTATCCCTAAAGAAATTAGGGGAATAGAGAACTTGGCATGTACCTTACTATCAATGTTTAAATCGGTTCAAGCATGACTTAATTCATTAGCGATAAACATAAGTAGGATCTTGGGTGTCTCAAAAAATTCCCTTGAATTTTAAAATTCTCTCATCGGCTTCCTGTCCATATTTTCTAAATATATTTGAGAGAAATATTTTCAATTTAGTCATTTTTTATTTATACACAACATATCACTCTCTCCCCGAGTTGAAGAATTTTCCTCTTAGAGAGATTAAAAATTACTTGGCCAATTACAGAGAGGGGGCTCAGGGGAAAAAGTTTAATCGTTCCAGAGATTTTAGTAGGACACCCATAGTTCAGGGGGTTTTGCTAGATAACAAAAACTAGAGGGATTTATCAGCAAAACTTCACAAAGTTTTAGGGGGTTTGTGAAATTAAGCCCTTTTTTTAAACCTCCAATCGAGAGCATTTGTTGGCTCTAGGACAAAAATGGTAGCTCTTACTCACCATGCAAACCAAGTACGAACAAACCCCTACCTACACCTTACAGGGCCCCACCATCCGTATACTCCACCATATAATACCAACCACCACTTTCTCTTCAATTTCCTCATTATCTCGTACTCGCTCTCAACAACTCGCGAGAAACACTCATTCATAATTTCCCAAATCACGAGGACCTCTTTGTAAAATCCGACCAATAAACGAGAGCTAAATTTATTTTATTTTCTCGTGATGAAAAAAGAAGCTTTAGATCGTACGGTTCTGGTTAATGCTTAGCTGGAATTAGCGGAGACCAGCTGTCACGTAAGGCGTCAGATACGCTGCTCCCGTCGCCGTTTGAATCCATTTATTCATTATTTATTCCCGTGGACCCCACATTTACCGAAATGCCCCTTCTTGCCCTTGGATGGTCAAATGGCTGACGTGGACGGCAGTGACTATGGCAAAGTTGTAATTATTGCGAGGTTTTGGGGGGGAATAGAAAGACTGCGTGTCGCTTTTGCGACAACCGACAGAAGTCAAAACGAAGTCCGCATCGGTAATTTTGCGGGAAATGTTAGGGTAAATCCGTCATTTTAGGGTTTTGAAAAGGCAAGCACGCAGACCACTTCGCTGTCCAGCGCTGTTCAGAGAATAGAAATATATATTTTTATGTTATTTGTTTATGTAAATCGGGAGTGATATTTTTGCAGATTGACACCTGTAAAGTTTGTATATTATATGCTCTCCACAAAATTTAGTTCTAATACATTTGTCTTAATTATTCTATTTAGTTTTGGATTAATATACTCAGTCATTTATACTACAAGTTAAAAAATCATTTGTCTAATATCATTCTCGTCTTATGGTTATGAAACTTCTCGTTGGTAACAGCGTACTTTTTCTTTTTTGCATATAATTAATATGTATTTTTTTAGTAAATGAAATATCATATCAGATCAAAACTTTTTTTTTTGCCTTCATGGGCTCATATTGTATAAACTATCTTTTATAAATTGTTATTCATATTGAACTAGAAAAAAGGTAAGACCACTTATAAAAGTTGTGCATTAAATACATACAATAAATATTATATTTTCACAAGTCTTTTTTGACGACACTATAAGTCCTCTTTTTTCATTATCTAACTATATAATTGCATACAATGTGCTCAGCGCATTAGAGATACAATATATATTACTCTCTTAATACAATTTAATATTTTCTTATCATCCATAAGTGGCCTAATGATTGGGCAGTGGCGTAGCCAAGAATTTTTTTCCCCTGGGCGAAAAAATAATCGTGGCTAGCGATGAATCCCAAAGCGCAAATATCGGCAAAGGAGATGCCTCGTCCTCCTGCTTCTCCGTCGTCGGGGTCGGCACAAAACCTAGCTTTGAGCGGGGAAGCGAGGAGAAGCTCCTCGAGCTCGGCCATCAAGGGGCTCTCCTCGTCGGAGTCGATGACGGACCTGCAGAAGTCGACGACATGGCTCCCCGATTTGGCCTAATGATTGGGCAGTGGCGTAGCCAAGAATTTTTTTCCCCTGGGCGAAAAAATAATCGTGGCTAGCGATGAATCCCAAAGCGCAAATATCGGCAAAGGAGATGCCTCGTCCTCCTGCTTCTCCGTCGTCGGGGTCGGCACAAAACCTAGCTTTGAGCGGGGAAGCGAGGAGAAGCTCCTCGAGCTCGGCCATCAAGGGGCTCTCCTCGTCGGAGTCGATGACGGACCTGCAGAAGTCGACGACGGGGCTCCCCGATTTCACTTTCTTGCCCTGGGCAAGCCCCATGTGGCTCCGCCACTATGATTGGGTCTTGCGATTTCGACTCAAAAGGTCAAAGGTCGATATGACTATAGCTCAAAAGGCCAAATGTACAAAATTTAGACACGTGAAAAGAAAGAAAATAAGCTATATAAAGCATACACACTTATCGTCCTCACTCTAATCAAATCTAAATGCTTAAAGATATGTTCATTCCTCCACCTCATTACACCTCCCATCTCTTCACATTCTCTCCTCAAATATCCTACCAAACGAAATATGTTGTTCACTCGGGTTTGGACTGTAAAGGGATGACTAGTCGGTCCTATGCCAATGTTTGCACAGAAAAAAAAGGAAAAAAAGAGAGAGGGGGCCCATATTAAAAAAATTGAAAATTTTATTAAAAATCCACATTTATCAAAATGCCAGAAAACCAAGTATTTGAGGGCAGATAGCTTATCAGTTCATGAACAATCAAAAAGCAAAAGGAGGTTTTGAGAGGCGTGAATATGCAAAACTGCCCTTAAATAAAACCTAAACAGCTTCCTGTTCGTTCTTCTTCCCCTTTCTCTTTCTCTCTCCTCTCTCGCCCTGCTTCTCTCTTTTTTCTCTCCCTCGCTCATCCTTGAACCTTGTTTCTGTCCTCTCTCTCTCTCTCTCTCTCTCACACACACACACACACTCTCTCTCTCTCCCCTCTCTCCCACCCGCAGCTTAGTCCATGGCCGCCTGAAATGGGCCGGGTGGGCTTAGGGTTGGCGGTGGGCTGCGCAGCAATCTCCTGCACAATCGCAGGAATCCTAGTGACCAAACGAATCAAGAACCGCCGAAAGTGGTCGAGGGTCGTCGAGATCCTCAGCGAGTTCGAGGACGGATGCTCGACTTCGATCGCGAGGCTGAGGCAGGTGGTGGACGCCATGGCCGTGGAGATGCACGCCGGCCTCGCCTCCGACGGCGGCAGTAAGCTCAAGATGCTCCTCACTTTCGTCGACCGCTTACCTGATGGGTAATGATTTCGTTAACTTTTGCTTGTTTATTATTATTATTATTATTATTATTATGGAGTAGCTTGTTGATGGACAGATTGTTTCTCGTCGGGGAAGCTTGTGTCTTTTCAAGTTGATTTGTCGAAATTGTTGTAAGATGTTAGGTGCTTGAGGATATTGCTCAATGGAATTAGTAACTATTTTGGGATTTGAAGAGACAAAAACTTAGTGAGGATCATTATGGACAGTGCTTAAAGGTGCATTTGTCAAATGTAGTTCTTCTTTGGATGATTAAGGACTTAAACCCACTAATAGTAAATTGCTAAATTGTGTTGTTTTCTTAATTATTTATTGGGTTTTTTGGGCTGTGGAGTTGTTTGATGGCAGAAAGACTTTTTCTTTGGTCTGTAGAGTTGTTTGATGTCAGAAAGACTTTTTCTTGTGACATGCATTTGTGTTATTTTTTGATGGATGTTGGTTGGTTTGTGTAAATAGTTGTAGGATGTTAGGTATCCGAGGATATGCCTCCTTTAGATTATTGGACTAGTTTTAGATTATAGATTTAATTAGAAAAGATGCTGGTTTTGAACGTTGTCGCGAGAATCATTATGGACAATGTTTGAAAGTGCATTTCAAATGTAGTTATTGTTTTACATAACGGACAACCTAAACTTACTAATATAGTAAATAGTAAATTGCTTATGGATCTATACCCACTAATATCTAAATAGTTATCTTTTTTCTCAACTTTTAGTAGTTAGATATTTGAGAGATTGTTTCCTGTTGGCCTAACTTGTGTTCTTTTTGGTTTGGTGGTTTTTCTTTGCTAATAACTTTGGTTAATTGTTGTTCTTTAAGAGACAACGTGGCGACTAGTTTACGTAAATAATTGCAGAATATTTGATGTTCGAGATTATGCCCCAATGAGAACATTAACCACCTTTTCTTTTCTTGATTTAAAGGGACATTGTAGGGATAGATTTCGGACCATAGATTATTGATTAATGCAAGAGATTTGGGAGAACTTACCCCTAAAAGTGAGTTACTGAAGCGGAAACCCAAATTTCTTATTATTCCCCAATTGTCTCCACGCTTCTTGAACGTGGGAACTAGATTGATCCTAACAATTAATCACAAGAGATGCTTGTTAATATGTAAAGATGTTTTATATCTAATGATAATCTTGTTCTTTTGAAGGTTGCTTCATGGTAGTGTTTACTTACCTGGATAGGTTTCCAAGAGGAGCCTGAAGGGTGTGGACTTTCCTGTGAACTGTATATAAAGATGGTTTGCATGATAACTGTTTTTTGAAGAGTTTTAACCATCGGTATCATAATTGTGATTAGGCCTTAGTGTCTGGGCCATCTCTGTGACCTCTTCTATGTTCTGCAACTCCTTTCGGCCTATGACTAGTGACCTACATATTTCCAACCGAAAAACACCGACAACAGTCGGGCACCACTATTAAGACATTTGATACTACCTCTTTGTTATAATAAAAAATTTCACATCCTCCCAAAGGAATATTCTTTGTCATGAATTACTAGGTGAAATCTTGATTAATTAATTAGATGCATGAATAACTAAATGGTCTTAATTATAATATTAACTATCTAACTAAATAACAATTAAACATGTTTGAATTATCTTACCATTCACTATTGAGGATAGTAGTTATTGAAGAAGTGATTGATATTGCTAGTGTTGTTGGGTTCACTACCCTGTAATAGTTCGAAATTACAGGGCAGGTGCTTGTGTAAATGGTGCCAAGAGGAAGTTGTTTCTTCCAAGGATCCACCTTATATTTTTGAACTATTACAATTTGGGGATCCCTATTAATATTAGCTATGTCACCCTCCCTTCTCTTCATCAATTATTATCGATGGGCATGGGAGGGTAAGATAATTAAACATATTTAATTATCTATTTATCAAATTAATTAATCAAGACTACAATTAAAACCTATCTAACTATTCATTTATTTATATTAAGTAGTCAAGATTTCACCTTACACTTCATGTCAGAGAATATATCTTTTGGATGAAAATCTTTGATTTAGACATGAAAGCATTATTAAATGTTTCAATGGCGACACCTAGGCAGTTGCTAACATTTTTCGGGTTATTAAGGTGAGGGTCACTAGTCATGGGCCGAACAAAGTTGCGGAACAAAAAAATACCTCACAAAGGTGGCTGGAGCCCTGAGGCACGAGCACGGTTATGGTGCTAATCATTACAATTATTTCTCAAAAAAGTCATGAACGTGGGAGGAAAACTGAATCCCTATAACTTGGTCGTTAGAGGGAGAGAAGCCAAATCTCTTATAAACTCAAAATTGACGCCCATTGATGAAGTGAGAACTTAATTGATCCTAACAATTGATCACAAGAGATGCTAGTTTTAGACATCGTAGTGAGAATTGCTGTGGGAAGCATTCAAGGGTGCATTTTTCAACTGGTTTTGCTTGGATATTTAAGGATCTAAACTCACTAAATAGCAGTAAATTGCTCAATTTGTTTGGTTGTTGGATGGGTTGTGTTAATATCCTAATGAGATCATGTTTGGCAACTTTGAATTATAATCCATTTGGCTTATAATCCATAAATGGATTATAAGCCATTATTATTGTTAAGATGACCAAGCAGAATTTAATTGGATTGGAGAGAGAAATAAAATTTGGAATTTTGTGAAATGTGAGGGGTATATTAGATTTTTACTTGGTCAAACATTGTGGCTTATAAGCCACCAAAATAAGCTAGGATACTGCTTATTTTTTGGTGGCTTATAAGCCAAAATAAGCCACTTGCCTAACATGTAAAAGTGATTCCTAAGCCAAAATAAGCCACTTTCACCACTTGCCAAACATGCTCTGAGATTAATAACCTCTTTTTTGGGATTTGAAGCGTTAAAGGTCCCTTCAACTTAGGACATGTTTGTGAACTTGCCTTATAATCCACTTGTCTTATGATCCACATATATAAGCCAAGTGGGTTATAAGCCAAATTATTTGGTAAAAAATGATTTATAAGCAGCTTCCAATAGGAGAGTGTTTGGCAAATGAGTGGATTATAATCCATCATTGTTGTTAAAATGATTAAAAATGACATGATTCTAAATTTAAACGTTGAATATACATTGAAATTATCATAAATGTTGAGGGAATAAACTTGACATTTACTAGATTAAACTATATGGTTTATAAGCCATCAAAAAATAAGCTGGGTTAGGGTAAATTATCTTTATAAACATGTTGCCAAACATGCTGCAGTGGCTTATAAGCCACTTTTTTATAGGCCATAAAGAGGCTTATAAGCAAGTTTGACCGGTTGCCAAGCCCTCAACTAAATGAATGCCAATTTGTTAGAGGAGGAATGCTAATTTGCTCCTAATCTATGTTGGACGGAAATAGGTACGCATACAGGACAACAAATTTATACACATGACTACATATACGTTGAAATTAATAAAACTTACTTGACATCATTATCATTTTATCTATTCACATGGTATGAGAATTAGAAAGCCTATAACGTTTTTATCTTTCTTTTATATTTCTTTTATTATGTAGAGTATAATTTGGAAAACCCATTTGTTTTTGAACTAGATACCAAACGACCCTTCAAAATAACATTTCTGAACTGGGTATGGATTGTAACAAACCCGATCATGTCCACAATGTTTTAGGAAGTTGATGCGAAATGTATGTGTATATTCATGAAGTGGCGGTTACCGTTACATGTTGTGATATGTGGTGGGTATGGGTATTGGCTTCATGATAGTACCTGATAGTACCAATAGAACATAGCTCCTAACACTTTCTATCCTTGTGTAATGGAAATTTAGTCACGTTCTTCTACAGATGATTGAGTGATCAACATACCACCTTCAATTGTTTTTTTTGGGTTGAAGAGACGCATGCTATCCTTGTGAAATAAAAATTAAGTCTCTTTCTTTTGTAGATGATTGATTGGTCCGCAAACAACCTATAACTGTTTTTTTGCTAAAGAGACACGTACTATCCATTCAATGTAACCTTATAGAAAAAGCAAACTTGTTTTTAGCTAATGGCGTAACTCCTTTTGGTTCTTGGTTCAACCTTCCACTAGATGTAGCATAATAAGAATTCACTGTTAGATTAGGAGAGAGTAGTTCCCTAGAATTGTGGCTCCTCTTCCACGGGGAAAGGGATTCGTACGACTAATTTTCACTCTTACACTGGGAAAAGTGTCCACCTATCCCCCACCCCCCCCTTTTCCTCCTAGAGCTTAAAAACCTTCTTTGACCATGACTTATGAAACATGGATTTCTCAAAATTGCTTGCACATTCCTTGGGAATTACTGAATGGGTCAAATTCAAGGGGTTTTTGTCTTTAGACCCAAAGTTTTACCCTAATTTATGTTTAAAACCAATTTTTTTTTTTTATCTTTAGACCTAATCAACTTTCTCCTTTTGTCTTTAAACCCAAATAGTATAATTCATAGTTAAAATATATTATATTTGCATTTTTAGGAGGTAAAAAACCCAAAATACCCCCACATCTGCTCAAAACTCCCTCTCTAAAGTATGAAACTAAAATAAAAAATAATTTTTTTAGGATTATTAGTTCTTATTAATTGTAATAAACAATCATAAGGTATTATGAATAATCAAGTGAAAAATTGTGACGAAGAAAATGACAAATTAATGATATAATTGTCCCAAATGCTTATGTGAATTTATGCTACAAAATTAGGAGTTGAGGAATTGGGGGAATTTACACCTTAAAATACAAAAAGAAAGAAAGAACGAAAGAGATTAATTGGACCAAAGTTTAATATTTAAAGCTTAGGAATTAAGGGAGTTTGAGGAGTAACTAAAGGGTTTATGAGAGTTGAAGAAGAAAATAAGAGAGCAAAGGAGGTGAGAGAGAATAAATGAGAAAAAGAGAGGGGTAAAATTGGACTTTTTGAAAGTTTTTAGGAGGGGCCACATGAGTATGAAATGTATTTGAGAATTTGGGTTTAAAGATAAATGCACAAAGTTGATAGGATCTAAAGATACAAAAGAAAAGTAATCGGGCTTAAACATAAATCATGGTAAACCTTTAGGTTTAAAGACGAAAACACCTAAATTCAATCAAGCAATAGATCTTATGTTTATAATAGTATTTTTATGTTCCTTTTGGCTTGACTCCCCTTTACTGAGAGCTAATTTTTAGTTCTTATAGCAAAAAATCATAGCAGACACTTTTTATTAGTATTTCTGGACTAAGGGGTTTTGTAACTTTGGGAGCTCACAAATTTTTGTTTTTTTCTTTTCATTCATCCACCAAAACGCGTTGTTTGTTACTCTCTTTACTAGTCATTTTGTCCTTTCTGACCTCCATTTACTCAAGCGTTAAAGCTTGTCATGGCAACTCCAAATTCGTAAGGGAAGGAAATGTCCATTTAGATAAGTTGCCTCTATGTTTCTTTCGTTCCTATTATACTGACATAAGAAAACATGATTTCAGATAGCAATTTTGTGTGGAGAAGATTGACATTACAAAAGCAATATTGTGTTTTCCTGTTAAACTTATATTGTAATAAGTTTTTTTCTTAATTCGAGTCTGTTCTGCTGTAAATCTTAGATGTTCAGTTCTATGCTTTTTACAGGGAAGAAAAAGGTACTTACTATGCTCTTGATTTGGGTGGTACCAACTTTAGAGTTTTGCGGATTCAGCTTGGAGGTAACAGGTCTGTGATTCTAAAGCATGAAGTGGAGCGACAACCAATTCCTGAAAATTTGATGATGGGTACCAGTGAGGTAATGGACCTGCCTTTTCTTTATTTTTTCCCTTTTCCTGCACCTTTTGTCTGCACAATAGATTTCTGACTTCGAGTCAATTTCAAATTTATGTAGGACCTATTTGATTTTATTGCCATGAGTTTGAAACATTTCGTTGTTAAAGAGGAGGGTTCTGAACAAAGACCAGACAGAAGTAGAGAACTTGGATTTACATTTTCATTTCCTGTTAGACAGGTGTCTGTTTCGTCCGGATTCCTTATCAAATGGACAAAGGGATTTGCAATTGAAGATGCTGTGAGTTAAAACATTCTTTTTAACTTTATCAGATGATCATATTTGTTCATCTTTCTTGTCATGCTATTATCAATTTTCTTTTAACTTTATCAGATCATTCCAACATATTTGCTTGCCTTATGCTGTTATGGCACTTATTTCTAATCTGGATTCCAGAGCTTCTTTGATGCTGTATTTTGTTTTAGAAACAAATAAGACGTTTTTATTATAATTGTAGTGTTAGGGTAGTCAACCTGTCTATTGCCTTCCTCTGCTACGTTTAGTTCTAGGTTTCTTAGAAATTTATCTCTCTGTTGCAGTTAGTTCTAGGTTTCTTAGGAATGTACCACATGCGAATGCTTATAGATTGACAACTCGTTTCCATTTAAACTTATGACCTTCTATCTCTGTTATTGCACATTGCAAGGTGCAATTAACTGACATCATTTTGTTATTTAGGTTGGAAAAGATGTTGCTCAGTGCTTAGAAGAAGCCATGACCAGGAGGGGGCTGGATATGCGGGTGGCAGCATTGGTATGCTTTGAGTGATCTCTGGTTGTTCTAGCTTAAAGTTGCACTACATTTGTGGTGATTGTCTTCCAGACTACTAAAGTAATTGCTTTTTCTTGGAAGAAGCGCTAAATGTATGTATAGAACTTATGTATGCACATAGTATGCATGCTTAGATCTAATTTTATAAAAAGATGCTTTTTATATAAAACAATAACTTTTAATTTTAGTCAGTTTTTGACTTTCATCTTCTCAGAAGGACACATGTTCCTTCCAAGATGCAACTCTATCTTACCTTATTTTCCTAATTTTACAGTTTGCCATTTCTAAAATATGCTGCTGCATCTCTCTTTTAGAAATCAGTGAAAAGACAGCGTATCACATTTTTTCCCTCTTAAGTTCTGAGCTGCTTTATAGTGAATAATTTTCATGATAGATGTTTGTGGTATAAAGCACAAGTTAGTTTTGGAAAGTCTTGTTTTCGTTTCTGTCTTTCCTCATACCCTCCTCCGCATGTAGTGAGTTGAACCATGATCTAGATGTTTGGATGAGATCCATGCTCATTAAAACTCAAAAATTTAACATATGTGCTGGTGCTTTGTGTGTGTTTTTTATCAAGGGTTATTTGCAGATACCCCCTGCATATCAAAATTCCACTTAATAATTTCTATAGAATTGATCATTTGAAAGTCATAGCTTTTATTTTTAGCGCATCTCTCTTAAGATCCACGTCCCTACCATGCTAGTATCGTCACCCTTGACCCTTCTTCTGTTGATTAGTCTAGGACTTGGCTTATCACCTCTCTTGGTCCCTTGGATGCTAGTCGACGTCTTCCGTTCTACAATCCTTAATAGACACTGCGATGCTTAATTTGTTTAGATATTCTTCAATGAAGTGCTTCGGCTGTTTTTTGGTTATTGAACAAAATATAGATCAAATCTGGCCTTACAAGAGAATGTCGTTTCAGCCCTCGAAATCTTAGTCAAATTTATAAAGCTAGAGCTATAATTACTCTTGAACGTCTAGCTAAACCCTAGATATGAAAAACAGAGCTAAATCTATGATCTCTCAGGCCGTGTTTATTGGCTTTGAGGCTTTTAAGATGTTCAAAAGTGACTTTTCTTGGGTACAAAAAGTTTTTATTACCTAAAATATAACCAAGCAAAAAAAGTTCCCTCAACGATCAACTATCTAGAGCCTGGACTAAAGCGTATGGGAACTAGCTGCCTTTCAAGTAGACAAGTACAATCTGGATATTTGTTGATTGCATTTTATGAGTCTGCTTTAAGAATATTATGCAAAGATTAATTTATTTGCATCTTTCAGAAACTATGTAGAACATGCTTAGTCATTCTTTTACTTGAATGATGCTTATCTGACACTTTCATTATTCATCAAAAAGTAGTTGTAATTTTGTAGTTTTACATATTCTCCATATGAGCAGGTTAATGATACTGTGGGGACATTGGCACTTGGTCATTATCATGATGAGGACACTGTTGCTGCAGTGATTATCGGGACAGGCACCAATGCCTGCTATGTGGAACGCACTGATGCTATAATTAAATGTCAAGGACTTCTTACAAATTCGGGTGGAATGGTATCTCTCATTTTCTTGTCACTTATTTAATGGGCATGCTGAAATGAAAGCTATACAATAATACAATATACTGTTTGTAAATATATTTTCCTGAAATTGTTTCGGTGATTAGGTTGTAAATATGGAATGGGGTAATTTTTGGTCATCACATTTGCCAAGAACTTCATATGATGTTGACCTAGATGATGAGACCGCAAACCATAATGATCAGGCAAGTTTCTGCTCCGTTCTTTTACTTCTTCGCATTTACTTTTGCTCTTTACTTCTTTTGTCATGTTATACTGTTGCTCCTTTTACAGGGTTTTGAGAAAATGATATCAGGAATGTATTTAGGTGATATCACGAGAAGGGTGCTTTATAGGATAGCACAGGAATCAGATATTTTTGGAGATGCTGCTGCTAGTTTATCTGCTCCTTTTGTACTAAGGTATGTGATATCAGAGTGCTATATGGCTGCATTCTCTTTATTTATTTGTGCTGAAGAATGGTTGTCTGTGAATTCTTACCGGAACATATTCATGTTAAAATAATTTCAGCAGTCTTATGCCTCTTGATGTTTTGTTTCCGCATCTAGATGAAAACACATGTTAAGAAATGTTTGCTGGAAATTATGAAATTCTGTTTTGGCATGTTCCGGCTAGTCTTGTGCTTCATTGAATAATTTTGTTTATATAAAATGTCAAATTTATGTTGTCCTTGCATTTCTTTTGATCAAGGACAGGTGGATTCATGTGCTCTTATCAGTCTTTTTTCCCCCTTCCTATTTTCTATATCTATGTTGTCAGCATTTTGATATTTGTCCCATTAGTATGCTGTGAGGTTTCATTGTTAGTGCTTAATTTCAAATTACTGGGGTGATGTTTAATTATTTTTAAACCCCTCAACATATTAACGAAACATTTTTCAAAAAATATAGCGTGCTAATCTATCCATTATAATAAAATCTTTTCCTACCATACTCCTATCCTAAACCTAATATATATCTGCCAATCAAAGCTGCAAAGTTTGAAGATGAAATTAAGAATCCAATTTTTTAAACCAAATATTAAATTCAAAATAAAATACTGAAGTACACTAATTGATTAATTACGATAAGAAGGTAAGTATTGACTTACCATATTCCATAATTGCTGAAAAACTGTGTCAATAGTTTAAAGATGAGTTTGGATTAAGCAATAGATTTAGAGTTAGAATTAGAAATTTAGAACTAGGTTTCAGATTTAGAATAGAAATAAGGATAAAGATAGGGGTGGTCCGGGTGGAATTTGATTTAGACCAAGAAGACCATTTGATGATTAATATTCATATCTTATTTTTCTGAGTTTTGAGCGATTTCTTTCTTTTCTTTTCCTGAAATATAGAATATCTGTTGAAGATGGTACTTTTGTCTTTGAAAAAAGTGTATGCAGTAAATGATCATTTTTGAATGATAGGAGGTCAAAATGCTAATAGAGTAAACTTTGGGAGGTGAAGTCTTCGATAAAACCTATAGTGAACAGATATAATTTACCAATTAATATAAGTGCCAGTGTGGGAGAAGCTATTTTTGAAGCACAGTATGTAGGAAAGATGTAATTTATCGGTCAAATTTCATGAACCATAGTGATCTGGCCATCTGAAGAAAGGATACTTCTGGACGTATCACAACACAGCACATCAGCAAAGCTAAACAAGTATGATCCAGTCTAAGTCACGGAAGACATAGCAATGTCTGAAGAGCACAGCAAAGCATGTTCATTGAAAGGACAATCAATCTTGTCGTGTGAGTTCATCTTTTCGAAATTTGAAGTGCCCAAATCTGTTTGATTTTTAGGCTGGATTTGGTAGAGGATGGGGTGAGGTGGAGTGAGGCTCATGAACAGTGAAATTACCCCTCGTGTCATCACTATACACGATTCTCTTAAATCTGAAGGGTCATGTAACAGTAAACGAGAGAGTGAAAGAAGCCTAAAAAGTCACGTACCTTCCTTCACCAACCAAACAAGAAGCCCACAGGAGATACCCCTCCAACTTATAGCACTCTTACTCCCCATTTCCTTCCCTCAAATCCCCTAGCAAATGAAGACTAAGTCACTGGAAAAATTTAAAAGCTAGGAGCCTAGGATACAGATAATGGGGATATTTATTAACATATCATAAGTAAAGTATTATGTTAACTTGTATGTGCGAAATATTAGTAGTAGACAATGAAACACATACATTTGCTGCAAATGAAAATTTAAGAACTCATAATAATCAAAACTAGTGTACCGGAGAGTCATATTCTACGAAATAACATCAGTACTCAAACAATTAGACTAAGCATGTTCATTTTACTAGTAAGAATATAGAAACTCCCATGTTGACACAATGATCCATGGAAATATCATATCATACAAATGCATATCATATATCTTTGAATATTCATTCCATCTCAAAATAATGTGGCGCGCTGAAGTGTTTGGACTGTTTCATTTATAGCATTATTATGTGTGTGTGTGTGTGTGTCTATATATATATATATATTCCGCTCCATTGAACTTGATCTACATATTCTAAAACCCCAACACACCAAGTTTGGGGTGAACCCGTCGTTGTTTAAATTCTAGATTTTATTTTACGCTGTCGATATGCTAGCTGCTGTTTCCAACTTTTATACACCCACACATGCAGATGCATAAAATTTATCTTCTGAATGTTAAATGTGGCCGTCTTTGTGATTTTTGAATGAAACTAAGCTAAATTCCTTGAATTTTAGAGATGTTTATACTTGGTTGTCTTCTGTGTATTGCTTGTTTGAGCTCTCAATTCCCCCTGTCCATATCCATATTCTGTTATATATTAATGTACTCTATATCCATTTCTGTCCAATAGTTACGTACATTGGGGTGGGTGATGTGCTGCAGTTTTCCATATTTTCAAGTAGTTATATTAACTTGTTCACTCTACTGACTGTCATTGATTTTTGATTTTATCATGTCATCTGTCTATATCATACCGAGTATTGGCGAATTTAAATGGTTGCTTCTTGGTTAAATGAGCTTAACCAAGAATTATCGCAAGCATCTTATAGATAGATGTCACTGACCTAATTTAAGACACAGTAAACATAGTTGAGCTTGAGTCTATGGATTCAGTTTCAAACGTCAAAAGAATTTTGTAATTTGATTGTCTGAATTGGTAAAACTGTTACATAGGTTAAGCCTTTTGTTTGTAAAGTAATCAATTTTTATGCCTTAACTTTTTTTAAGCACTTTCCCCATTAACAACTTGGTGTTATATTGTTACTTTTGAATTATATCCAGGACGCCTTTGATGGCTGCCATGCATGAGGATGATTCTCCTGACCTACGAGAAGTCAGCAGAATACTGCAAGAAAACCTGCAGGTAAATTCCGTTTTGTTTCCAAGAGAATAAAGAGTGAATGCATAGAACACTATTGTATGAATGTCCGTATATACGAAATGTTATGTACCTACAAGTTTTCATTTGTCTATTACTTTGCCATCATCCAACTTTCCTATCAGGTACCTAACTAGTTGTACGTTTTCATCAATACTAATTTTAAACTGTAATGCATGTATTATAGTAAAAAAATGATCAAGGAGGAGGTTTGGAAGGTTGGAAATTAGAAGGTTTTAATGAGAGAGAAGTAAATGTTTCGTAAATGAAAGATAAATAGGTAGAAATTGAAAGGTCAAAATGCTAATAAGGTGCCAAGTGGCAACCAACGGGGTTTGCTCCAGTGTATAGTAATTAGTAAGTAAAGATGAATAAATTTTACTTTCTTTAAGCATCATCTTTCTGACCCTTGACTACTTCAGATGCCAGAAATTTCATTAAAAGCAAGAAGACTCGTCGTAGGAGTCATTGACATCGTCACCCGAAGGGCTGCTCGCTTAGCCGCAGCTGGCATTGTCGGAATACTAAAGAAAATAGGAAGAGATGGGAGTGGAGGTATCGGTAGTGGGAAAACCAAAGGAAAAATACGAAGAAGTGTGGTTGCTATCGAGGGAGGTCTTTATTCAGGATATTCCATGTTCAGAGAGTACTTGAATGAAGCGGTGGTGGAGATATTAGGAGATGAAGTTGCAGAGAGTGTAGTTTTAAGAGTGTCTGAGGATGGTTCAGGGATTGGTGCTGCTCTACTTGCTGCTACGGCTGCACATTCATCAGATAGATAAGGATTAATATAATTATATATGAAAGAAATGTATCTTTGTTTCTTCTTCTCTGTGAAAATGTATAAAAGGAATTGTTTCATATTAATATATATAGGGTTGAGGTTGTGCAGTGTATTTATTGGGGATTCAGTATTCTGTCTCCGTTATGTTAGTTTGGTTTCTTCAGTTTTCTTAAAGGAGTTCTTTCACAAGGAGATTTCAGAACAAGGAGATTCGAGGAAAAGCCTAAGAGGAGACGGTGAGAAAGAAAGGAGGAAAAAAGGGGATAAGAATGGAATGCGGCTACAATATAATGATTTGTATTGTTTTATAACGCTTTTTACTGTTAAATGTCAGCATATATGCCTTGAAATATATATATTTTCATGTATTTTTAACCCTCATTTGCATGAGTTTCCTTTGAAAAATTTGGAAGAACTGCTACACATGCAGCGGATCCTACTAGGTATTGCATACCATAATTCTACTAAAGAACACAAATTACCAAGAGTCTGTTTATTTTCTTTAGAAATATCAGCGGACGAGCGTTATTTCAAAATGGATTAAGTTTAAAGACAACACTGAAGAAGTATTAGCAATTCAAGACATAACTTTTTTTTAAATATAAGTGAAGTATGAGAATTGGTGATTCTCGAACATGTAACGTATAGCTGAAGAAGTATTAGCTCATAAATTCTATTTATTGTATGGGAGAGCAAACGATACAAGAATTGCCCCCTAATTGACAGGTAGATGCTGATCGTTATTTACAGGCATTGACTTCTGATGCAAAGCACGTGTAGTATAGTCAAACTACACTTGCAAAGCTTATAATGGCATGAGAAAGACTGTAAGACATCACTCATATCACATGTAAACATTTATCTTCTCATGACGTTGCAAGTTACTAGAATCATGTTCTCCCTGTCAGCCTATCAGTGCAGTCTGCATTCCTTGTAGCATGAGATATAGATTGTTTTCGCTACATCAAAACTCTTAAGTTGTGACGAGAGTTATCGCTTTATACTCTTACACTGGAATATTGTATCAACTGGTGACCTTGTCAAAATTACTGTTACACAAACTAATAGTAGCCAATCACTTAAGTTTTTTTTTACCTTCCATTCTCTTGGTTTCTTCGGTTCACCGGTTTTCAGTTTCTGAGAAAAAGTATTTTCACAAAGGAAGAGTATGAAACGAGAAAACAAGAGAAAAAGGAAAAGGGAGAAAACCGAGAGTCCTGTGAAAAGAGTTCCATATCATTTATAGGAGATGAGAGGGTGATATATGTCTCATTATTAATTCTAATAATTAGACTACATTATAACTTGCCAGCTTAACAATATAGTTTAAGCACCGCTTCAATATTCTTACTCTTTATAATTTTCTATAGCCTTATTGAATTTTTGTCTTCCAGAAATCCTATATAGAGTCCTTTTTATGGAAATTCATATAATACGAAGAAAGTACTTGACATACGCCTCCCAAAATTGAAGGACGCTTACCAATCTATTTTACTCATGTGTTTGGTTTCCAGTAGTTAGAGATCAATCTTCTTCGAACTGCATCTGAATTCAAGATGCAGGTTTAGCTGGACCTTGTTGGACCAAAGATTGGCCGCTTTCTGACAAATTTTCAAGGGGATTTTATTTGTCAAGATTCTTGCAAACAAACACGCCCTTAAT